ATAGTAGGTATTCTGTAACTAAATAGTAGGTATGTAACCATGAAATAAAAATAAAGTTAATAAGAACATCAACTCACTTGTTTTATTGATTTTCTTCGATATATCTTTCCATATGTTTTCTTTTATTAAATTATTACGATAATTACTACGACTGCTATCGTAAAGGGCTGGATATAAAGTCACATACTTAATTAACTATTCCTCTTCTGAATCAGAGAAATTCATCCTATTGTTGTCAATTTACGTCACATTCACGTAAGTACACTTGCTGCAGCGGCAGGCCGCGACAGACCAGTATTGATGTAGAGGCATCAATACTGGTCTGTCGCGGCGGTAGGGTGACACTGATTCGCAGCAGTGCTGCCGCTACATTGCTGCCGCGACATTGCTGCCTAGCTCGGAATGTAATCTCATATAAACTTATAGAAATTGTATGGGGACCAATAGTGTCGCGGCAGCACTGCTGCGTGCAGCGTGGTTCGGAATCATACCTTTAATCCTGTCCGCACGCGGCTCGCATATAAAACGACGCCTCCTTGCGAGGCGCAGTTAGTTGTCAATGAAATATCACGCAGTCAGTGTGTCAATGTATTGTCAATGTATGTAGTCGTTATATGTATAAAGTCGATCATAGCCAGTCGACCTAATATTGTGAATCTCCACTAGTGTTGTTAACATTATCGTAATAAAAGTACACCGTTAAATTTTAGTCGTTTTAATCCCATGGACCTGTGGTTTAACTAACAGAATGCTACTCATTATAAGCTTGTACTGCGCTGTAACATAAAAAATAAATAAATTAGCAAATGATAAGATTATACTCGCAAAATTTATGAAACCAAAAGTTGCGCCGCGAGATAGTTACCTACGTCGTCGTTGGTCGTTGCATATCGTCGACGGTCGGGCAGTGTAGGTACCTACACGGCGGCTATTGACTCGATCAACTGATGTTTACGAGTCCACGTTGACCAGCGACCGCGTCAATGTTGTTAGGTTGTTACTGATAGGAATGCTACCTACTAACGGTTCGCATTATTTATTCACTCATGCGAGAATTGATTCGAGTTATTTAAAAAAAAGTACTTTATTTTTTAATTTTATCTTTACAAATCGATAGTGTTTCATGGGCCAGTTCGAACCTCTAAGGGATTAAAACGATTCAAATTTAACGGTGTATATGTGGACGAGAGTTCTCCAGTTTCATTATACAGTCCATTTGCTCTCCACAACGACCAAGCTCGTCGAGGACTGATCCGCAGCCTGACCCCTCCGAGCCCGCACACTAGCGATGGATGAAATACATTCACAAAGAAAATATATGCTGTACTTGCTGAGCAGTAAATGTATACATACTATTTTCAGATTGGAATAGTGTCTTCCATGAATTGCATGAATTATTAAAGGGTATAGCGAGGTAAGGAGCACGAAATGGCCCCCACGGCCCATGACGGAATTATCATTTGTACTGGTATTGGCACTCTAAAACAATACGAAATGTAAGGTCGTTGACCCCTGACCTTGACCTGTCTTTGAAATATTCGAGAAAGTTCGTATGCGCGCCGATTTTTTTCATAATTTTTTTTTCGAAAAACTATAAAAGCTAGAAGGATGGGACCAATTGCGTATAATGAGGGATACTTTGAAAAATATTCTGTATTTTTTTCAGAGTTCTCGTGAAATGACAACTGTATAAAATAATTAAACAAAATATAAATAATTTTTTTTTAGTACTGTTCTATTATGTCTACCGCGCCAAAAAAAAATATATAATACTCTTTGATTTATATACTTATACCATACAAAAGCTGATCAAAATCAAAGAGGCGCTTCTTGAGTAATTATGAGAATTACTTAGTGTGCGTACGGCTGGTAGGAACTAATTAAAGAGGTCATTAATTATTATAATTACATATTGAACATAATTTTAATCATCATCATCACTATTTTCATTTATCACAACATTGACGGCATCATTTGAAAATATTTTCGACAGAATTTCAGCAGGACGTAAAATGCGAGATAGATATCTCGCATGAGCTAAATAATATATTACACTTGCGACATGAGCGCAGCATCCAACTGTCCTGTTTCCATTCGGACAATCACAACAATATCCTCGGATTCCTTCGACACTGTTCATATTAGGAACATAATCAATGAACAATCGGTAATATTTACTATTTACATGTCTGGAACGAACATTTAACTTGATGATAGTTGGGGTTTGTTTGACGTAATATATATAGAGATTGCTCTTATCGTCCAATATTTCAGCGAGGTGTGAAACAGCTAATGAGAGCTGATAGGAACCCGTAAATAATATTCTTAATAAATTGTTCTTCGTTTAGTCTTGGAAAATCTAAAATTTCTGATGACACCAGTTGTTGAACAGCCGTTTTTCTTCGATTCCAGTGCTGCTTTTCTACCTCTTCACTTAAAGAATTTGGTAACGCCAGTCGCTCTTTAAAGTATTGAACAATTGTCTCATTTAAGCCTGTATCAGAATCCAATCGCTTACTGAATTTGTTGTGTAAAAATCCAACAACTTTGCATAATAGACTTACTTTTGGAAGCATTTTATTATCAAGATTGTTATGAAGCAAATTATATTTCTGAGCAATAGCTCCGTGCACAGCTTCGATTACCCATCGGATTTTAGTCACTTGTCGTGACATATTGGCTTCATCGGTAGGTAACTGGGCTCGATTACCTTTAATCGCCGGCATTAACACGGTGTAGCCTTCTTTGGTGATGTCGCCAACGGCGTCACGAAAACCACGATCTACGACAAATACATCATTCCGACGTAATAGAGTTTTAAGTTTAGCATCCTGTAACACTTTCTTCATAATAGTGGCATCATTTTCCGTTCCATAAAATGGCCCAGCAAAATCAACTATAAACCCGTTCGTAGTACAGATTGTGAACGGTTTGCATAAATGGGTTTTCTTTTGCCCAGAATACGATTTTCTCTGGTATTCATTGTTAAAACTTTTTTGATGCCTGATATAAGTGCCGTCAAATATCAATACCAGCTGATCATCTCTAAGGTTCAATAACATTCGAGCTGTTAAACTTGTGTTCTTTATTAAATCTTCTCGAGAAACGGAGGTTAATCCAAAATGAAGCAAAATATCAGTCTTAAAACTTCTTAATACTTCCTTAAAAAATGTCGACACATGTTGTTCGTATGGTAAACCCAGCACTCCTGCTATCACTGAATTAGAATTTCCAGTTTTTAATTTAAACAAGAATACAACTAACGCTTGAGTCACAGTGCGTATGCTTGTGTTTCGCATAGAAGTCAATAGCTGTCTTAATTCAATAATGTTTTGCCAACAAAGCCCTGTCAATATCCTTATCTGATTTTCAGACATATCATTTTCAATTTTGTCGAAAAGCGACATCCCTGTTCTTTCTGAAAGTGATTTTAAAAAATGAGCAACTTCTTTAGAGTTCATTTTACTGGTGTTAGATACTACACGTAGGTGCACCAACTCGTCTTTATAAAAGTTTTTTCCTATTATATGTGTGCAGCAACAACGGTTATCCTCTGGTATAAAAATCCCAATGTTTGTATAAGCCTCATAACGCGCTTCAAAAGGTACTCGCATTAATTTTGTTGTGGATCGACATATACAACAATACTTGTGGGGTGGATACATCACTTGGTATATGTACATATATAAATTCGTCGTTTTGGGCAACATGCGAAAAAACAACATCGCCATCATCATCATCATCATCATTCGTCGTTTTGGGCAACATGCGAAAAAACAACATCGCCATCATCATCATCATCATCGTGGTCGCTTTCGGAACTGCATGGTAAATTCATTTCACATTTTTGTTGGAATGAAGCATTAGAAGATGTTTCCCCAACTGCTAAGTGTTCACCAGACTCCTGTTCGCCTTCACACTCTACCAGGGTAGATGCCGCAGAAGTTGATGCAACGTTTGATTTGCTATTGTAAATAATTAGCCGACACTTTCCACACAATACGTCACCAACAGAAACTGTTTTTTTACTCGAGTCACTATATAGTCTAGCGTTCTCTTCACTAGTGATAACTTTTTTTCTTCCGCAAACTTTATGCACGAAAGTGTCACAAATAATACAGTTCACAAACATTGTTATCACCCGTGGTTATCACCATACAACTTGCGACAGGCATACGCAATTATTCTCACCGAATGACCTATTAGGTAATTTATATTTGTGTGTGGTTTCCTTAACACGGAAGACACGGACTAAAGCAACCATGCGTGAAATCGTATTTGTAATGACACGAATACACTTATAATAATCTATTGAACATGAATAAACACGTTTGTTTTCTAGTCCGCGCGAAGCGGCTGGGCGGGCGCCCACTGTACACGATCGAACAAGTTTTCTTTAGATATTACTCAAGAAGCGCCTCTTTGATTTTGATCAGCTTTTGTATGGTATAAGTATATAAATCAAAGAGTATTATATATTTTTTTTGGCGCGGTAGACATAATAGAAGTACTAAAAAAATGATTTATATTTTGTTTAATTATTTTATAGAGGAAGTGCAGCATATTTGGAATACAAGTTTGTTTTTAGGGAATATCGAATAGAAAAAACGGGTTAATAAATTGAAAAATGCATGAAATAATCAATATTATATTTTATTTTAATAATCCAAATTATAAAATGAAACAAAACTAAGGAACCTTCTAAAAATAATTATTTTAACGAAAATTACCAAACTTCTTTTTTGACAAAGGGTGCAGATAATTTGGAATATAGTATTCCAAATTAACAGCATGTTTTATCTATAGATCTTACCTAACATATTTCTTTTAGAAATCTAGGTAAAATGGTGTTCAATTATTATGAAATTTTAAATGGTTTAAGAAACAATTAACAATATTATTATAAAATGTTTAACAGAATAGTATTACTTATTAATTCTTAATTAAATCATTATGTCAATCACAGATACATGTTAATTTGAATCTACAATTCCTATAAATTAATTTTTGCAGTAATCACAGATGTACACACCGGTTTCATAACCGCCACAAGCACAGTGAACCCATAGTTCACACATTAAACATTGCACCCATTCTTCACCTTTTTTATCATCACTGTATTTTCCATTACAGAAAAAGCATTCAGCATCTTCATCAGAAGGGGCTGCACTCTCATTTGTTACTGCCTCATCATCGGACAAGTCTGTGTTATATCCAAAATTATCATCTAGATTCGAGTCTGATGATTCACTTTCTGTCCTATTCCTCTTTTGTCTTTTTTTCGGAATATTTTTTTTATCCTTTCTCTTTGCAGCTTTTTCACGTTTTTTCTTTTCTTCATTAGACTTCTTTGACTGCGCATTTTCTAAATTCTTCTTATAAGGAAAACTTGAAATTATTGCCGATCTTGCCGGCTTTCGGCCTCTATTGCTAGATGTTTTCCTTCTTATTGGCACTGGGGAAATATCAGATGGTGTAACCAGGGAACCGTTTCCTATTTCAGTAGTAGCAGCAGATGGTCCTGGTATATTTTCATTGAAATTGCTGAGTTGCAATGAAGTTACTGTAGTTAGGGCGGATGAAGTGGGTAGTGTCGGAGTTGTTGTCGGATTTTGTTCTTCGAAATTGTCAGCAGCAGCTAAATAATCAGCTTCAGTAAATATATTACGATTAAATGGGTATATGCCACCAACTTTAAAACCATTTGCTGCAATTTCTCCTGTTTGACACTTTAAATATGCCTTGCCGAATAGCTCCGCAACATAGAAATGTGATAAATTTTTTCCTGTTTGTTTCATAAAAAGACGGACTTCTTCGCTATAGTAGGTTTTTAAAGGACCCATAAATGTTCGATCGAGTGGTTGGAATTTATGGGTGCAATGAGGTGGCAGTGACAAAATAGTTACATGATTTTGTCTGGCTAAATCTATTAGTTCTATATTCTTCGTATGGCTGTAATGCCCGTCGAGAATCAAGAGCACTGGTGACGCTTCTGTAGGTTTGACGTATTCAACAAAATGTTGAAACCATTGCGTAAAAAGGTTCGTTTGGATCCAACCTGATGGGTATGCTTTACCTATAGAACCAACAGGTGCTCTCATCAAAACATCAGACATATTTTTACGCGGAAAAATTAACATAGGTGGAACAGATGTCGCCTACAGAATTTTGTAAACACAACTATTCCAAATTTTCTGCACTATTCCAAATATGCTGCACTTCCTCTACAGTTGTCATTTCACGAGAACTCTGAAAAAAATACAGAATATTTTTCAAAGTATCCCTCATTATACGCAATTGGTCCCATCCTTCTAGCTTTTATAGTTTTTCGAAAAAAAAATATGAAAAAAATCGGCGCGCATACGAACTTTCTCGAATATCTCAAAGACAGGTCAAGGTCAGGGGTCAACGACCTTACATTTCGTATTGTTTTAAAGTGCCAATACCAGTACAAATGATAATTCCGTCATGGGCCGTGGGGGCCATTTCGTGCTCCTTACCTCGCTATACCCCTGAGCAGATTCGTAGGTTTGGTTAGTAATATTTATGATTACTTAAAACAGTTGCACGCAAATTATCTGAATCCCATGCAGTGTGGTACTAGCACAATTTGGATATAAGCAACGATGGGTAGCATTATCTGCTCGTCTGTGTTCCGGTGAAACTATACTCTGGACCGCTTGACGATTGGGCCTTGGCTCTGATGCATTAGATCCAGAAAGCTGATCATCTTCTTGAGATTCCTCTTGATGTCGGTTGGAACTACTAGGTACAGGTCTAGTGTCTTTTCATAACTTTTGATTAACATTAACATACCTTTTCATTTCAATTATCTTTTTTATCTGGCATTGATTAGTTAACGTGATACTTTGAAAAAATGTAGAAAAATAATGGAACTGCCTTCGTACATATATAAATCGCTTTTAGACGCTCCAGAGTAGTAGTAGTAGTAGTAGATTGGGCATTCTGGACCACTTTTTGCTCGGCGAAACTCAGCGAAAACAAGTAGTGTGAGAAAAGCCTTGTGCTTACTGTGTTAGTTAAATTAGGATAAATATTAGGTTTGTGTAATGTTTTTAAACTTTAATATTGTATATTTTTATTTGTACAGAAGTATTACGGAGGTTCGATGAAAATAAAAGCCTACTTTTCTATACTACATTTTTTTTTACTTATAGCTTACCACACAGCTAACGTACAACCTTATAAGATTACTACTTTAAAAACTATTTTATACATAACACATTTCTAAGAGCACAATATTTTTTATGATGATTACAATTTAAATTAGTTTTTCTATCACAGTACTTTTCAGCTAACACAGATAGTTTAGGACAATTTCCTTCGTGAAGCTCTAGTACATTACAGTTATCACACATGTCTTTTATCCATTTCACTTTTTCTGAACCTTTTACATAGATATTCTTGTTTTCTAGGTATGGTACGATCATGCATTGGAATTCTCTATACTTTGAAATATATAATTGAAGATTTATAATCTTCCAACGTGGACACCTATATTTTTTCTAACCACTCGACTTGTCTCTTTTCATCCCTTGTTAAGTATGTGAACTGGTACGGTGGTTTAAAAAAAACGTTTGTGTATATTCACGCGTAGTAAAAGTTAACTTCTTTACTATAGAATTATTGCAGAGCCTCCTTAAATCCTTGTACATCTAATATCGTATTGGGATTCATGATATTTTCCTTACAATATTACTCAAAGGTTTATACTCAATTATACAATCGTTTAATATAAGACAGTATGCACAGGTTTGATCTGGTATGTCCAATTCACTCTCAATTTCCACTCTCACAACCACCACAGGACCAGTTTTGAGGTTATCTGTTTCAGGGGCACCAATTAGTTATGCTCGGGGTCCGTTTTAAGAAATGAAATGACCATCGCGGTCCGCACATTTTATAGAAAAAAAAAAATATTAAAGAAATGTAGTTACGGAAATAACAAAGTTAATTTTTTACTTTTCAGTGGGAAAAATGATTTTTTCTGTTGTGGACTATCTGTCTGAAGTTTGGAGTATAATTGGTGCACGCTATTGTCATTAAATCCTGGAGATGTTCATTAGTAAGTTGCGATCGAAATTTATTCTTAATGAAATTCATCTTTGATAATGTTGCTTCACAAATATATGTTGACCCAAACATAGTAAGAAGATACATAGCTATTTTTTTTAGTTCTGGATATTTATTACCACACACAAATTTTATCCAGAACTCTTTACAGGAAACTTCTGCATGTTTGTGTTTTAAAACTGTGTTTTCTTAAAAATCGATCATTTCTATCTGCAGAGTAGCTTTATCACTCCTGAAAACATTTGCAGCTTCGTTGCTCCATTCACCATCAGGATGCAGAGAGTAAATGCTGCTGAGGATTTCTACAACATTCTCAATTTTCTTAAAATCTGCGAACCTGTTTTCAAATTCCGATTTCAGATCTGTAATGAACGTCTTGTATTGGCCGACATCAATCTCGCTGTCAGTGCTGATTATTTTATTTAAATTAGGGAAGTGTAAGCGTTCACTACCAACATCATTAATAAAGAAATCAAGTTTTCTCGTAAAACTTTTTACTTCCGACATGAGCTCCCATACAAGCTTTCCGTTATGTTTAAAAATATCCGTCAAAAAAGCAATGGCAGCTACATTTTCTTTTTCATTTAGGAAACTTAAATAGGCGTTTGCTGAAGTTTGATCACTATTAAAAAGGTATATTTTTAAGTGCTCTAAAATGCTGAAGAATCTTTCTAAAACGCAGCCTTTGCTTAACCATCTCACATTATTATGCAACAGTAGATCGTCATATTGTGCATCAAATAATTTCTTGAAAATGATTTCAATTGACGATGTTGCAGTGATGATTTCACTCGAAGAAAATTCACTATTTTCATCATTTCTTGCATAATACGCTGCAAGTTACGATTGAGTTTGCAGCAAAGCACAGTTTGGTGAATAATACAGTGGTAGGAAATCAAATTTTAATTACACCTTGCATTGCTACTCAACAAGTGAACTAGTCCTTTGTTACTCCCAACCATTGCTGGCTGCCGAGTCTCTTTTTCCCTTGTTGCGAAGTTGTACTTCGGCCGTAAATGACAACTCTCCTTCACTTGATGTATCAAGAAGATGTTAAACGCGACGTTTTTTGGTTATGTAGCTGCAACTTTCATAATCTTTGTGTGGTCTTCCGGCTGGGTTACTAGGCCCAGGTGCTAAATTACTAGCTACACTTTCTGTGACTATATTGTCAAACATAAAATTATTTTCTAACCATTTCGAATTCGCCTTTAAAAAACGATCTCGATGTCTTCCTGATTTTGACCATTTCTTGTCGATTTGTTGGCTATAACTTCTTGCTTTTAATGAATCTTTAATTTCATCTGGTATAGATCTGATAGACATTTCTTGTAATATATGGTTCAGTATTCCATCCACTCTGCACTCTTTCGCGTTGGCGAACCAGATATCGAAAAACGTCAAACGTGACAAATGGTAGGTCATTCTGAAATAAAAAAAAAATTATGAGTGTCGCAGCTTTTCGTAAGTTAACACCTATGTTTCTTAGTCTGCGCGTACGAAACTTGCGACGGGCGGAGCGACGGCGGGGCGGGGCGGCGCGGCGCGGGGTGAATAGATAGCGGTGTCTAGCGTGTGTACGAAACAAACTTCCGCGCAGTCGCGCACACGTAGTGTTGTGATGAACATGGTTTCACGTCGAAGAGAACTATTGGAGCCCAGTCTCCTAATGAGAGAATTTTTATTACCTAGAGATGGTGTTCATGAAATAAATCAACGACAATGCAATTTGAGAGAATTTTCTACACTTTATTACGAGCCACGTTGTCATTCAAGAAAGTTCTACAATTACACAAGAATGAGTATAGAGACATTCGATTATGTTTTACAGAAAATTAGAAGTAATCTGAAATCAAACATTTTCGGAAATCGTATAATCTCACCTGAACAGAAACTATTTTTAACACTAAGGTAAGTAGGTAAATAAAAGTAGATAGATTGTTAATATATTTTTGTTTATTAATTGAATAATCAAGATAAGATCAAAAATTCACTTTTCGGGTGTTTGAGTTCTATACCCATGAGACCAGCTAGAACTAGAATTCCCTCTATATGGGTCCCCAAACATTGAATTATGTATTTCTTCCATCATTATTTGATTAATTCTATTCCGAACATTTAATTTTTGTAATGGAGTAAATGACTCCATTTGTGGTAACAAACTCATCAAGTAATAATAATCTTCTGATTGATTTTCGCCAGATTGATTTACGTTTGAATTTTGTTGCAAATCTTTCTCTAACAACAATAACCGTTTTTTCTCTAATTCCAAAATTTCAAAATATCATTTGCAGTCTTTCTTTTTAAGGAATCTAGAACTAGGACCAGCGATATTAATTGACAATGGAGTATTTGTAGTACGTACTTCATCGTCGCCTACCGACGTCAGTTCCTGGGTATTCACCGAGTCTGTAGGCGAACATAGGTTAATATCTGATTCTGTAATTACGCACTCCGATGAATTTGTTTCCATGTACGGTGAAGACATTGAAGTATTCGGTAATTGACTATCAACCGTTGTTAAATTTGTGTCTGAATCATCAGGCAGAATTTCAAATCGCAAAAAATTCATTTGTTGAGAAAACTGCCACGTAGACTGAATATTATCTCCTGGATCTCCTGATCTGGGTGTAGGAAGCTTTTTTAATTTTTTTCGATACTGATCCTTTAAATTCTTCCATCGCTTCTTCAAAACCGCAACTGTAAATAATAAATTATATTTATTACCAATTTATTTTATTTCTTTATATTTAAAAAACTTTATGCACACAAACAAGTTTGTTTGTTTGTATGCCACAGAGTAGGTACCTACTTTTATTAAAATTGCCCCGCTTGGGCAGAGCATCGCCGTATACTAATATTATAAAGCTAAAGAGTTTATACTAATATTATGAAGCTGAAGAGATTGTTTGTTTACCACAGAGTAGGTACTTACTTTTTCGAAAATATAGTACGATTCACGAGTTATGGCGGGTGTGAAGTTCGCCACAAGTCACTTGCACTCGCACAATAAAGTACCCGT